ACAGCTGATATGATGACGTCACTAACCAAAGTTCACTACTGACCACTTCCTATCAGTCAGTTTAAACTCACCTCTTTTAGTGCTTGTTACCTTTTGGTTTTGCTCGAGTTAAAGATTTTAATCTCTCTCACTCTCTTGCCGCTACAATTGCATTATTTCCAATTTTAAGTATTTATTTCTAATTTAAAGTACCAAGTCTCAAACAAGGATCCAAGATGATATTTTTATTTAATTTAAAGTAAATGTGTTGTAAATATACGTCTACAGTCAAGAATAATCATGAGTAGTGAAATGCTTTCTTTTTATAGACAAAGAGGAGTTTTAATTTAAATCAGTGAAGAATTACATACTAACCAAAAATAGTCAAATTTCAACATCATCTTTCATCTGTGGTCCTCCATGTTCATCACTCAGGTCAGAGCCATCGCTTCTCTGATCATCTTCTTCCTACTCAACTAACAACTGAATGTATCTCCAATATCAGGATATAGAGGTATTTTTCACAATTTTACTTCTTAAGACCATATTTAACAGTTAGTATGAACCGACTCAATTGCAACAAGTTACCTATAATTTCTTTCACTCGAAATATTTTTTTCGTGAGCTACTGGGTAACTAATTACATTTTTCATTGGTTTTGGAGCTTTTCAATCCGAAAACATTCTAAGCTAAAACTCTGGGCAGTTATTTACTTGCTAAGAAACCGGTGGAACAAATTCAGCTCGACGACTGTAAGATTAATTCTATTAGCTCACTGCAATTGATAACATTAAAGCATTATATAAACTCGGTGCATCTAGGATGCTAAAAGATCATTTCAGCTAGAATAGAGAAACCGTTTTACATTTATAAATGTAGGTATAAAAGAATTACAGTGTGTACGAAGTAGCTATAAAGATGGAACAGTTGCCGAGCGATAGACAGTGTGATGGATGAGTATATGTTACACTCAATCTCAGAATTCGGACAATGTCCGAAATTTCTACCCACTCCGCGATGTGGATAGTGTGAAATACCCACGTCGCGGAGTGAGCATTTTATTTCGGACATTGGCCGAAATGAAATGCCCAATTTAATGTATAAATAGCATTTTAGAAAATACAAGAAAACAGCAAATTACCGAATGAACAAATATAAAAAGGTCCACTACACATACATTGAAATTATGTTTTTCCGCTTTACAAAAATAGATGTTGCCTTAAAACGCCGATTATCACACAGTTCTTATTACATATATTTTTACTCATTGGCACAAGAGGTGCTGCTATGGTATTTATAATTGCATTTTACGTTTGAATTTATACATTTACATGATTTAATAAAAAAGTGTTTCTTGCAACCACATCTTATAGCAGTTTCCAGACTGTTTTGTCAACCTGTATATAGACACTAATTCGTCCTAAAAGTGATATGGTAATTTATTTTTGTGTGACTTTTTCACTTATAACGAAAAATAGGAGAGTGCACAAAAGTGTATATTTTATTTGTTTATATTATTTTACTGTATAGTTTGTTGTAGTTATATGTTCTTAAATACCTATTATATCTGATTTTTTTTATGGGAAGACTTCACAATAGGCTACCCAGTCAAAACCCACCACGAAATATTATATAGGCTCTTTTAAAATTGTCTGAAACCCTTAATTTGAGATGGTTTAGAAAATTATAGTGATTGAATATACTTATGTTACAAATATTTAATTCCTGAATTAAAATTGTTTCAACATTTTATTTACTTACACATTAAGTTTTACTTTTCAAATTACCATCTTAAAATAAATTAATAGATAGCTAGATGCTTTGCTAGGTAGTGGCTATTTAACATGGATACAATGCCTTGTCAGCAGACCGCTTGGCTAAAATATGCGATTTGCACAGTCTTCATTGTAAATAATAGTTAATTGTATCATAAATAAATTGTGTCATGAATTTTTGATAATAGTTTATAGAATGATAATGAATCAAATAGATTGGAAAAATAGTTTAAAATTTTAAATAAGTGGACTGTATTTTGTATAGGAGAATTTTGGTTTAATTACATTGAAAGATTCACTTACTGTTCTTGGTAAAATAAATCTTCTTAAATAAATAACTTATCTTCTTAAAGTTGAATAAAACTGACTTTAATAATAATTTTCTTGAATTTAGTTTTTGATACCAACACTTTTTTCATGCATCTTCATTCAGGTAATTCTGTCTTCATTTGTTGATCTTAATCACAGTTACATGTTTTTTAAAGATCTAATTGTTGTACATTTAATTTTGAGTAGTTAAACTGCTTGCATTTACAGTGTTGCCAATTTTAATAATGAAATATTATTTTAGATTCAATGTGATTTAATATTATAACATATGATAATTAGTAATATTGAAATGAATTGTAATTTAAACTAATAATAATAAATTGTAAACCTAAACATTGGTTAATGAATTTTGATTGACTTATTTGGAATAATTTAAATATGAATGAAATAAAGAAAACTAATAAATACTTAACAAATTGCATAATTTTAATAATGTTCGCACCCATCAATCTGTCTAACTAATAAAATAAGGAAAAAATGGATAGTAATACGTTTTTATAAAAAGTTACAAGCCGTGATTACATTTCGATTCACATTTTACTGCTTTTTAAGGATCATAACATTACGAACCCAAAGTTTATCGAATATGTGGGCTGTTTGTACAAAATGAGCCATTAAAATAGTTAAATAAACATGTTCGTAATGTGTATAGTTTTGTTTAATTACTGTGCATACATATCTATTCTATTGTGTATGCTTCCTTGAAATTTTGAACATATGTTAGCAAATAACGTGTATTTTTAAGAAATACAAGACCATTCTTCTCTTTTCGCTAGTTTTGCAAAATAAACTCTACTCTTGAACGCTTAAGAAATATTTGTCAATCATCCGTTAAAATGTCAATTTTGAAATATAAAATTTATGATACTGTAGTAAAACTTTTAATCGATGTAAATATATGGATTTGTCAAGATGGTTATCAATGCTAATTCCAACAGAGCAATGCAAAATAAATGTTTCCTGAGTAGGCATAATCTATTTTTCACACGCTTATGATTATCAAGAATGTTCTTGATACCATTAAAAAAATCACTTAGAGTCATTCTAGGAGTTCTAACTCATAAAACAATTATAAAACTACAAAGAAAATATCTGATCACACAGTTCCCTAGATATTTATACTACAATCACATACTACTTTGGTATGTGGACAAATATTTTGAGATGGTAACTAATTCTACAGCGGAAATTAACATTGTTCTTTTTTTAAGAGTTGTTAGCCTCCGGATTACGTTTGAATATTTATAATGGTTTAAATACCTGCATTCATCAATCCAATATGCTGCTTGTGGCAACTATAGTTAACTTGTACGGCCTGAAGATGGTTCCCTGTGAACCGAAACTATAGTTGCCACAAGCAGCATATTGGATTACTGAATGCAGGTATTTAAACCATTATAAACATTGTTCTATTATAGTAAACTTGTTATCTTCTAAAGACTCCCTTGGGAATAATTAAAAACCCACAAAGATAATTTGTGAGCTTATAGTGTTGAATATATCAGAATCACAATCTCTTTGGTATTTGAAAATCATTTGTAGTTGTACATTCCATGTACTATTTTGGTTTCCCAATTATTGAAAGTAATTATTTTAATGTAATGCGTTTAAATGGTTTTTTTTTGCTTTCTTGCCTTAAAGGTTCCATTTTAAGATCCGTAACGATTCTTATTTTCTCTGATTTTACATTTAAATTTAATTCGTTCTAACTAAATTGACAATGTATGACACTAAAGGTGTGTGTGTTGAAGGAATGCAATACCTGCGACTCTTTACTATTATCCTATGCTATTATACAATACTTTTAGTAGGCCAAAAAGTTACAAATACAAATTAACAAAATTTGTAGAACCTTTAAAAATATTTTATTTAAACTTACTCTTTCTTTAACTACTAACAGATATATGTAGTATACCATATTAGTGATTTGGGACCATTCTAAAAGTAGGCTATGAAACAAGGTTTAAAATTAATTGTTTCATAAGTATTTATTATGTTTCAATGTGTAGTATTTCTTTACAATGATTTTGAGTTCTGATAATAACATGTTAGAAAATAGAACCCCTACAAAGTCCAGTGCATATATTGACACTTTGTTCTTAACGTAAAACCTTTTCAGAATAATAAATTCACTGTATTGTCAATACGCCAATTTACACTGAAGATCTCAATAATATCTTAAATATACCAATGCAGATTTTGAGTGGGAAGATTCCACAATAGAATGGTGCCTCAAATGTCAATACCTAAATAATAATACCTATGTTTACTTATATATATAAGGAAATTAATAAAATGTGCAATTTTTTTTTTTTTTTATAACAAGCATGATTTTTACCAACGTGGACACTACTTGTAAAATGCAATTAGTAAACCGATTTGAGTTTGGTAATTATGTAAAGAATTAAAACAATTGTTGGTGAAATTATTGTTACTTTTACTCAGTGATAAACTATTGAAACAAAGTAATTAAAGAGACTTAAATATATGTACGGTAAGTAAGCCTATAAGCTGTGTGTAAGTAACCAAACACATAAAAATACTTGTATTTAAAAATACATCATTATTAATTCCCATAGAATGATTTCCTCTACATTCCAGCACAAAGAGGTAGGTGTGTAATGCATTTGTATAATCTTTATGAATTTAAATAATTTATTGGTGAATTTCAACTAGTGACACTCATTTACTATCCTAGCCCCACGTTCTCGCCTCGAAGCAGTGCGTAGACAATTTTTAAAACAGCGTTTAATATCCCTCCAAGGTCATAGGCGATGGGGGCTGCTTCAGGTTCAGCCCGTGGTCGAGGTTCTGCGAGTGAGGTCACCTGAAAAACGTATCTGTTCACCTAAAATGTAACCATTAAAACACAACCATACGATCTTCTAATTGGAGTGGAGACTGAAGAAACATAAATACAGAATAATATTTTATTAAATTTATTTTCCTAATTTACACTTATATTATCACTTATCGTCCAGTGTACAACATATACATTAAAAGGTGTTATAATCGTATGTATCATTTTAAGCGCATGAAAGTATGCGGTCCTCTCCTTGGGTGTGGTGGTTGGGTTTGCGTTTGAGTTCGGGAGGTTTTTTATTTATCCTAGGATCTTATGGAGGCCGACGTTCTCCCCTCGCAGGAGAGCGTATAAGATCTTCAGGACGGCGTTCAGGATTCCTCCAAGGTCGTACGCGATGGGAGCGGGGGCGGGGTTGGGGCTGGGGCCCGCTGCAGGTGCTGCCCACGACGTACTCTGAAATTGGTTTGATTTTGAGTCAAAATAATTAATTTCTAGAAAAAATATTTCAACATAAACCTCTCCCAAAATGTTGACATTTACGAAGCTCCTAATTATTACTCCAGCTAACATATCCTTCACTCCTAGAATTTGATTAATAAAATCATCTGTTCTTGGTAAAATCAACCTGATATTGCTCACTCAGTTTACATTACAAATGTTTTCAAGACACATGTATCTACTCTATTTTAGTTTTTCCCAAGTATGGGTAATACAATTTAGAGACATCGGTTGAAAAGTGGTGGAACGAATTTTAACTAACTGTTAGCCCAGGCAAAAAATCATATTTTAGCACGTGTCAGTTTCAAAATTGGAGAAAACAGTTACCTACAGCGTAGAATAGTTATTATAGATACATAGTTGAAAACTCATGACGTAGGAATGAGAGGGATTTTGACGGATATTTGAAACACCACGGGCTCGTAAACATTATAAGTGGTTATTGGTAGTGGTAAGGAAATAGATTTTTGAATAAGAACGACAGATCTTTGTTGACTCAGACAATTAATATATAAGTTATAAGCTTACTTTTCAAGATTTGTAAAATTCAACCCTAACAAATCACTACATTCTAGTCTATAACGTAGTGTTCCCATGTAAAAAACTAAAAATAAATACTTAATCTTAACTACCTATAAAAATATTTAGACATGCACTATGGATGCGATGCTCCTTGGTGTGGATTAACGTCCGCACTAGTGAGTACTACGATTATCCGCAGTACTATCCTGATATTTAGACCAATTCGTTAATAACAAGGAAAAATTGTGGTTCAGATTCTACTACAAACTGTAGGTCCCTTAGTTGGCATTGGCTTTATGGGCTATTAATTTAGAGCTGTGTCTAAGGAACATGTCGGCCTTAGTCACTAACATGTCGGCCATAGTCACTGACAAGACGACAAGATCGCGTCACTCATCCTACACTAATCCTTCACTCATATTTGGGTTAAAATACGCACATAGTGGCATTCAATTCATAAATAATTGATTGATATAATTGTTATGCCGTTAATAAAGAAGCAGCAAAAAGTTGTAGTAATAATAAAAAAATTTGAAATTTATTTTGAAATTGTAATTACATTTATATTGGAGATGTTGTATGGCTTAAACTTAAAAGATTGATGGAAGTATCCGGATTATGCATTCGTTGTATTTAAAAGGATTTGGCAGCAACGTATTTCCGAGGAGCATAATGTTAACAAAATGTCACAACAATAAATAAACCTAGTAATATCCTATCTTGATTACACCATTTTATGGAGAAACGAATCTGAACATTAGCTTTCATGTTTTTACTTTCCGTACGTTGGTATTGATTTTACTGAATAAAGTACCTATTTAACAAAACATAGCTTAACATATTCCCCTGATTTTTATTTTGTGTAATGCAACACAGATGTAAGCCAAGGGTGATATATTATCAACGATCTGTTCTTTCTTTGTTACATGCATAAATCGTAAAAAATCAATAGTTGCTTAAAATAAAATTAGGGTAATTATTACTTGTTTTTTAAGTGGTAAGTATAGAAAGGAAATTTTTTTGTCTTGTTGACATAAACAAAATGTTAGCCTAAAATGCGTTGAACCAAAAAACTGCATGCCCGCAATGGATCCTGAATTCTTGCCGGGTTTCACTGTTTCTTTGTGTTTTTTTGTGTTATTATTTTGCAAAATTTCCCAGATAATATGACATTTTATAGTTGTTAATATTTATTGTTATGACATTAGCCTAATAGTTACCCACCCAATTTGTAGGTATGTTACCTATCTATTTTTTTAGACTACGTACACGTACTAAACCAAACTTAAAATACATCCTTCACTAATACTTTTTAAGTGATTAAAACAACAATTTTACTCAAATATATGAGATATTGAAATAACAGCTAAATTAAACTTCGATGTGTAGTGTAGTTTATAAAATATTAAACTACAAGTGTATTTTTTTATATTAAAATAATGTAACTATTTATAACATTTATTTAGGAATTTTGAGTGAAGATTTATTAGGCTACAATAGTTCAATTAAAATTAAGAGGCTTAAGTAGGTCGTTCTAAGACAAAAATTTAACCAGCAAGATTTATCGTAAAGCTTTCATAAAACCAAAAAACAAGTCAATTGGCAACCCGAATGCTAAAAACAAAACTATGTTATGGTTCATGTTATACTTTAGGGTAATGTGTTTTGATGAATATTTTATACAAAAATAATGAATTGAATACAAGAGAAAAGTCCTAGTTTCGCATTGATTTTGAAGAAAATATATTTGTATTATTCGGAAAGAATATAACTACAAGTGTATTTTTTTATATTAAAATAATGTAACTATTTATAACATTTATTTAGGAATTTTGAGTGAAGATTTATTAGGCTACAATAGTTCAATTCAAATTAAGAGGCTTAAGTAGGTCGTTCTAAGACAAAAATTTAACCAGCAAGATTTATCGTAAAGCTTTCATAAAACCAAAAAACAAGTCAATTGGCAACCCGAATGCTAAAAACAAAACTATGTTATGGTTCATGTTATACTTTAGGGTAATGTGTTTTGATGAATATTTTATACAAAAATAATGAATTGAATACAAGAGAAAAGTCCTAGTTTCGCATTGATTTTGAAGCAAATATATTTGAATTATTCAGAAAGAATATATCGTGTCTATAATTAATGCAATTGGTTCATTCAATTTTGTTTTATATTAAAACCAAAACAGATATAAATCACATATAAAAAAAAAATTAAAACTCTGATATTTTAAGTATAATTAATACTAGCAAGTATTAACGATCAGATTAATAGAACAGTGCTAGAGACGTTGTGAAAAATGTGATTGTCTTAGTTAGTTGAAAAAGAAGTGGTAATGACAAAGCAAGAATGGGAATAGCATGCTACACAATGTTATCTGTGTAACTAATTAAGATATTGTTATAAAATAATAAATTGGGAATGATAAGTTAAAGATTTAGCTGTGATTGATCTAACTAACTTAACACACCACCCTTATATACTACGTCCCTAAAAAACGACATTTAAACGCAAAAAAATCAGATAAATAGCTCAACATTAAACTCGGTATGGATTTAGAAGTCAATAAATAAACACTACGGATTAATTACATATTATCAATGAAAATATTCATAAGAAAATTTAAGTCTTAAAACTTATTTCCATTTAACACAATTGTATTTCTCATTTGTAATTCGCTTAAAAGCCTAGGGATCTTCAACATTTTTTCAAAGATTTTCAAAACTCTTGAAAACATAATCCATACACACCAACACGTCGATCTACATTACCCAAAAACCTTGAAATGTCAAATCCAGAAATAATCCAAAAAGGGGATCGTGCGATATATATTGACACCACTTGCATACACTTCATATAGTATACACTGTCGGCTAATCCACTTATCTAGAAGGCATCACTCACCGCAAAGACTGACAAGATGATCAAACAAAGGCTCAACGCGTATTTCGCCATCTTGAGCCGTTATTATTCCCGCCCGCGGAAAATCTTATCAATATTTCATTCCATCATCGACAGCCACCATCTGAGAACCAACAGTGTTATCTTTCTCTGAGCGATACGCTGTATATTACAGAGCATTACTTGAATGATAACAGCGTTAGAGGCAAGGAGTCTTGGCAGAGGAACCTTCCATGGACGCTTCTGTAAAAAAATGTCAATATACACTTCTGGTTGGATATTAATTTAGAAAATCATAGCGTACAAGGCTAATATTGCCCTTAATAGTTAGCACAAAAGTGTTCTGCTTAAGTGTGTTTCATATTCCCGAATTTAATTGAATTCATAGGGAGTGACAATAAGCCTGTTTGAATTCAACGCGAGCAATTTTTGTGTCGTAGAGTATACAACAGGTTGCAATGGATTACATATGATAATCGATTCGTGAATGCCTCGATCACGACAATACTTATTATTGGCAAAGGCAATACACTAAAACCTGTATTAAGTAATGCTAATTCATTTGCAAAATTGCAAATTAAGTTGATGTTTGTATGTCACCCTGTCTTACTATCGGAAAACACCACTGAACCAAATTTGACTAAGTGGTAGCCAATGTATTTATCTCTTGACTTAAGGCGCTGTCGCGGGCCTTTAAATTTTTAAAGCTGGGATTCAGGAGGGAAAACATAACAATTGCATTTTGATTGTACAAGAAACACATTTTATTTTATTTCAAAACGTTTTTATTTCAAATCAGACAGCTGAAGCCAAAGAAAACTATGCTACAAGTGCATGTAACATATTTCTGGGACCTGATTTATAACTGTGCTAATATTATTAGTAAGAAAATTCAAGTTACAAAATACTAGTTAATAATATAAGTATTTCATAACACAACTATTGTTGTTTAACAAGACTCGCTTAATTTAGCAAGAACAATTATACATTCTTAGTCAGCTAACTCGAAACCAATGTTTGCAGTAAACAATCTATGTCAAGTTGGAGAAAACTCAAATTAAGGAGAATAAATTTCAAATTAAACGATTAAATATCCAAATGCACAAGAATAAACTAGAGTTTAGGAAGCTGGATTTGGATATTGGCATCTGTCATCACAGCTTTTACAGAGCAAATATTAAAGTTAATCTGCCTCTAGTTGGCAGTCGTCAACAGTTTTTAATAACTATAAATAATGTTATGTTTCAACATTTTTTAAATCATATTTTTGTTCAAAGCCTCTTTTTTGCTTTGAGAAATCATAAATTATGTCCTCATGTATAGAAAATTAGAATTTATCACCAAACAAAAAATAAATATATGTAGTTTTTATATAGTTAAGTGGGCCCATATTATTTAATAGTTCAATGATAAATACTTGCTTCATTTATTACATTCTGAAAATAAATGCTAATCTTATATCGTACGTGCTCGAAGTATCTTAGTAAGGAGAAAAAATCTTGGTCCTTCATCTTCAAATAAGAGGTCACAACAATTATTAACACAATCTATTTGCTTAAAAAAACAAACATAACCTTCAATTACCTGCCTCAAATTTCAATGACTAAACCTAACTACCAGTAAAACCTCTTTTTAATAATACTAATATTTGTCCGTTAAATAATAATATTAATAAAGACTAGGAAACAAAAGTCAAGTAAAATTATAACAATTTACTAATATTTTGTAATTTACAACTAGTAGTTTGTAAATAAGTATTTATCCGTTACTAAACGAAATTTCAGTTTAACAATTTACAAGGCTTATATTATTAGTTTGTATTTTGTTATAAAACAGGCCCTAGGCATTAACAGTAGTTTACGCAACGATTGCGTAAAGATAATGTTAATGACACGAGTAGAAAATATAAGGTAAAAGCCTTGGCGAGTGGGTACACTACTTTACCTACGACAGTGTTTTAATTACTAAAAATCACTACTCATAACTTATGTTTTCGTTTATAACCTCTCATAGCCACTGACAAGTGATGCAAGGAAACAATTGCACCACTCAACAATTAAATTGGCCTGAACAGCTGATTAGTTTAAGTTCAAATCATTACAATTTTACTTCTTCTCTCTCAATCCTTGAACCTCATTGGTCCTTTACCCGTGTTGTTATGAGTAAAACTATGCTGTTATAAATGTAAACAATGCTGTTATGTGAAACTTTCTAATTCTAAGATCTGAACTAAAAACGACTACTTTAAAAAACGGTCGTAGGTAAAAAAACCTAAATATCTCATAATCCTGTATCATACATTTTACTCAAACGTATCGGATTCATATTGTGTCCGATTCCTTTACAACAATGATAAAAACTCCATTCCCGGCAATACTGAACAGTTACTAACACCACCATATTACCCGTCACATGAATTGCAGAAAAACCATTTCCGTATTTATTTTACTTTGATATCCATTTGTTTTACATGGAAAGTTGAACTTAGTAAAAAAAAATCCATTTTAAACTCTTCACTCCTTTTGAAACAGTTAAAGGGAAAATAATTCTATAGTTTTTGGATTAAATTCATCAACCTTATAAAAAAGGATTAACGTCAGCCTTTCCAGTTTCAAAGCGAATTACCAAGCATATGATTTAAAATTCTAATAGAAACCAAATCAATGACTACTTTAATTAATTGAAGTTAACATGGTACTATACTGTCTAAATTTTAATACCTTATCTCAAAATAATTTGCTCCATCTATTCTTTTGAATTAGGTTAGAAAACAAAGAATTTTATTAGAGACTGATGCAAAATATTTTTATAAACATTAAATCTCCTGTCTTTTTATCAAGCACTATTATCTTTTGTAGATCTCCAAGTATTTGGAACATTTGTTTCCTTCATCTGACCAGTTACCACGTAGCTTCATATAGCAGCTTCCAACTGTTATTATCTATTATCGTTTTTAAATATCTAATACTGTAACTCCATCGTTATTTTCCATTGCCTTAGCTTATTGGCCTTGTTAATTTCGAATAAATAATAATAGTGGGATTTTCCAAACCTTTGTTTTACAGCATTTTTTATAGTTTACATGATTTTGTTTAAGATTAAAATTTTCTGGTTGTTTTATATACAAACAAAAACGTCCTTAAACGGCTTAGTAACTTTTTAACCAACATACATACGGTGATTAAATTTTGTATCTAAATATTTACAATAAAATATTCCTATTTAATCAATTATCAATTTTCTCCTACAGGGGGACTGTCACAAGGAGTAAGAAGAAAATCTTTTAAGCAAACATAGGTTTATTTGCACATAAAATTAAAGGTCTATTAAGGGTTTCGTATGACAGCCATTCGAAGATGCATTGAATTTGCGTTGCTTTTATAAGCTACCTCGGAGGAAAATCATAAACGTATGTATAAGTCGATATGCACATAAAATTAAAGGTCTTAATTTTTTGAATAAAATGCCACAAATTTAAGATCAAAGTGACAATTGAGTAAACAATTGAACCGAACTGTATTGAAACAAACTGAGGTCATAGATTCAAAATGGCAGATTCAAGATATCTTTGAACGGCTGCCATTTTTGACTCTGTTGTCTGTTTGAGTTCAAATTTGCGGCATTGTATTTTACTAGTAAAGACATTTAATTTTATGTGCATATTAAACTATGCTTAAATTTTAATTTTAATAAGATAATAAAAGTGTCTTCTTACTCTTTGTTGGCTGTCCCCCTGGAGGAGAGGAAAATTGATAATTGCTTAAAAAGGTAGGTTTTTATGAAAATATCTAGATAGGAAACTATACCACCGTTTTTATCTATATTGGTTGAAAAAATATTAAGCCGTTCTGGGACTATTTTAACACACTGTAGTTTAATGTATATTTTATTTTGTTAATGATTTTTATTCATTGGATTTCTGATCATTCGTGGGCTTATAAACATATTTTTAACACTAATCGTTACTTGTGATTCTTAAAATTAAAGTTTTTAATTGTTTTTTTTTAAATCAACGAAAAGCGAGAGATTCAGTTTTAGTAATATTTACTTTGTTATGAAATTCACGTTGTTTCTAAATAGTTTGAACAATTTTATTTTTTTAAATCGTATATATATTATATACGATTTTAAAAAGTAATCCAAGTAGTAATTCAACGATGTCTTACCTGCCTGAATTACATTAGAGTCGTGTTAAATATTATACGTTACTGCATTGTAATTAAGAAAATATGAAAATAAAACTACATACAGTAACAGTTGAACATTGACTTTCAAGAAAATTATAAAACAAACTTTGACTTGATTTTTTTTAGCTTTTATTTACAAAAAAAAAAACTGATCAAATATGTGATCTAGGCCTCATTTATATAATTAGTATTGATTTCTTGAAAGAAGGCAGTGCATGATTCTTGGTTATGTCTGATACAAACAAGCTTTTATCGTAGTAGAGTTTCATGTGTGTTTGGATTATGAAAAACAAGTATACATTTAAATGGCTACAGTCACAAGCGTTATAAACAAACAACAGTTTTCGAAGGAAAAAAATACGCTAGCGACTAATTCAATTTGTTTCTGAAATTTTAAAGTGTTTAATCTTTCCTAAACAATATACCAAGTCAAAAATGATACTGGCCCAAGAAGTATATAGCCTCAATAGTGTGAGCACCAAGAGTAAACAGATATTTGTGTTTCAGATCAATAGGTTTTGGACAATTAATAAACGGACAACTATATAATATTGAAATGCATTTTATTATGATTGTATTGTTTGTTGAATTAACCCAACCAACTTCTCGAGCAGTCCACCTAGAAGAGGACCCAATCCTGGTAGCTTCTTCACCATATTCACTATACTCTGTAAAAATAAACATAGCTTAAATAACTATGGTGGGGTCCCTTTTGGTTACCAAATCATCAGGCTCACTTTAATTACTTAGTACGTTTATCACATGGTCATTTAATACTTTCTATTATGAAGGGTAAACGTGTTCTATTGTGAAACTTGTTGATGGCTAGGGTAACTAATAATCGTCCTTTTTTATTAAACCAAAGGATCTGTTTGTAATGAAAAACAATGTGTAAAAGCCGTGATTTTCATCACTGAGAAACGATTTATATGGATCTAAATTTTCTTTATTATTTGCATTTTTTTTGTCGTACTTGAAATAGTACTGTAGTTAACCTGATAATGATCCTTTTCACCCTCTTGCGAAAGAACAATGGGTTACAGTATTGAACAGTTTTATTTTTGTGTGAATCCAATTTCCCCACACACGCAAACATATGTTTGTCTGAAAATATTACTCACGATTCAAATATTGTGTTGACATTGTACAATCATTCAGTAGAGATACTTCAGAAGTAATTTATTTTACGATACAAAATTTAGTTTCGACTGTTTTTCAATTTAGGTGTAACACAACTCATAGTTAAATGATTTAAATTTTTTTTTTGTTATGATTATAGCTCTAAATATGTATATTTTGATGAAACCAGTTTATGAGTTGAAAATAAATTATTTGAGATGTTTATAATTTAGTACAAATTTGATTTTGAACATGAATTTGATGTTTTATAAAAATAATACGAATTGTTTTTTATGTACAAAGCTTTTATCCAGAAGAGCATGGGTCATCTTAATACATAAACAAAACATTGTTTATTCAAGATATATTTTAATTTGTTATCTGCAGCTTGAGTATAAAATGAAAAATTGTATTGTTTCGAGTTTTAAAAAGCATTAGGATTCTTAAAAGTTATATTTTGTGTTTTTTACATACTCTTATATTTTTAGCCCAATCACACGTATTTTATTTTTACTTAATTCAACAATATTAAGATATTGCGTTTAAATCAAACGATGGATTGTAAGTGCAACGATAATACTACGAAATACATTTATCCTATAAAAGATAGTGTTATATTTTAACCATACTCATCAATATTGGAAATATTAGAATTATTTTAGACTAACTAACTTGTGATGATTGAAGATGTTCAATAACATTGATAAGTTTTTATTTGATCTTATATCTAGTTATCGTTCTATTATTAGACCCTATTAAAATTGAAATCCTGTTTAAGTTTTTGGATAACTCGTACAAAATAGAATAACCTTTTACACACAAATAGGATAATTAAAACTCCACTATATCAAGATCAGACTCTTGCAGTAACAGAAGGTAATTGATTTTGAAAGTAGGGGATTGTTTATGAGTAAACCTCCATCTACTACAATATCAGTCAACCAAGGTTGAAAAGATGAAGACTTACGACGACGAAGATTCCAAAGTTATCTGTCAGAAGGGTACTGAGGTCTTGCCCCCCTGGTCCTGCCGATTCTTCCTCACCTTGTGGTACAGCGTGGCTCAGAGATATCACAATCTGGAGACATTACATGGGTCGTTAGATAACACAGACATAAATGGAATAGTTTAACGGTAAATAATATGGGTTATTTACTAAATTTTCTTTATTTTTTTACCATTTTTAAAATTTGTCCACCAACTACCGCAGACTGCTGTAGTATGCGATGGTTTAACAATTTTCAAATGCCAACAGTAAGAGAGACATGGCAAGAATTTTTAAGATGAGCCAGGTAATCACTCGATCTCTTTACATACTGGTCATCAGCACTTGACGCTACCAACTGTACTGGTCATCAGCACCTGACGCTACCAACTGTACTGGTCATCAGCACCTGACGCTACCAACTGTACTGGTCATCAGCACCTGGCGCTACCAACTGTACTGGTCATCAGCACCTGACGCTACCAACTGTACTGGTCATCAGCACCTGACGCTACCAACTATACTGGTCATCAGCACCTGACGCTACCAACTGCATTGCGTAACAATTATTAACTGCTCAAAAATTCCAGGATTGAATGGCAGGAGTTTACCATGCATACACTATATGAAGAAGAGGCACACTTTTTATGGAATTCAGATTAGTATTGTAACAACAGCAAAATATCAACATTGGTTGAAATGAAAGTGTTTCCTGTATTCAAAAGGCACAGTTACTTTTTCCGTTTACATGCTTCAATAATAAAATGTTTGTTGTAAAGTGATGTTTGTATCTGTGACAATATGAAGACACTAAACTATTTAAAATTGATAATGATGAAGGTAAAAAAATTACTATGGACTTTTGTACAAACGAAGAGTATTAAGGTATATAGACCGGCGTCTCACATGATAAAGATAATAGTAGCTGACAAATGATATTAGGTATAATCAAATTCATATTGGTTTATTCATCCAAAAAACAATAATTATTACCGTAATCCGTAGCTCAATATTGAACTCGCCCCCTCAATTCAGACAAATGGCTGAACACAAAGAAAATTGATTGAACACCACGACTTACATGGACGATTCCTTTACACTGCAGTAAATAACTAAAGTAACATTTGAATATTTTGCAATTAATTCATTAAGTATTCAATTTTGTTTCAAATAAATCACTAAGCAATTACTAAATAATTACATTGATTTATAAACAAATCAAGATATATCATATTAATTACATTGATTTTTTATTCATTGTTGAAGTAATCAAACTAACCTCCTTGCCATGTAATTTAGTTTAAATGAGACAAGAATGTAACTAATTATGTAGTTATAAGAACTAGTTTGAAGATTCTTATGAATAATACTCTTTAAAGTCTACACAAAAAATAAAACAACCCTGAAACTTTTAAGTTTAACCCTTTCTTTCCCAATAATCTAAATCATAATCATGATTTTTAAGTGAGATTCCTGATTCTACTGTTTCCGAATGACCTAAATGTGAGTCATAACTGAGTAGGGAATTAAGTTTATTTTAGGTTGGCAGCACTTTGGTTACATGATAGTTTCAATATTTGTCAATTCATGAGTTTTGGAGGCAAGTCACCAGTTTGAGAAATGTGAGCTATAGCTGACCTTGGTGAATAATCTTTTGTAAGATATTGAATGTATTCAGTAATAGAAAAATAATGTAGCGTTGTTTTTGTAGTTTTACCATGCTATATAAATAATTTCAAGCAGATATTACAAACCCTTTTCTACTCGTGATAAAATATAATCATGATCCAAATATGAATCATCAGGATGTTGTAGACCTGGGTATTGACTAGGGACGCAGGTTTCTAAAGTAATGTGACATCGTAATAAATAAGCTTACTGTATCTTTTGCCCATATGAAAATTAAAATACAAACAAAATATTTAATACTCAACCGTTTAATTTTAAATATAAAACTGAAATTCATACTCTTACTATCTTCTTCATGTAAAAACACCAAGAAAATTTTATTAAGCGATATAATTGGCAAAGACCAAAATGATTATGAAAATTTTTAATCAATAATGTTTTAAGTTTTCAAATCTATTTTACTCATTAAATTTTTTTTTTATTTATAACATATAATATAAATTTCATACATACATTTAATTTATAATTTTAAATTTAAATATATAATTTACAATTTTAAATATTCAATTTAAAATGTGATTTAATTTATTTAAAGTTGTATTCATTTTATTTTAAATTTATGTATTTTATTCTAAAAATACAAATATTTTACAAGGTTAAATAGATATTTTTGCATGATACTTTTTCGTGTCATGCTAAGTTTAAGTTGATGACCCTTAAGATTCTTAACTCGATTGAAACTATTTGTAAGAAACTGTATTTTTTTAAGAGGTTTAATTCTATTTCATTATATATTTTTTGGACTTATTCTTTGAAGTGTACATGAGAAATATTCAAAGTTTAAACCCCAATATTATCCTAAAATCGTTAATAATTAAAAAAATTATATCCTATTTAGTTATATTTCAATCCTGTGTCGAATGGAAATCATAAGACAAATCAATTTTCCTGCTGACTTATTCCAAAGTTCAATATTGTTTCAAGTATAATATGACGTCATTGATTACGTAATACGTTATCTCACCAGACACAGAAGGAATACGCAGGTAGTCCGCATGGTGAAGGCCTCAGAAGAGCGATATCGACGAATCGAGTAACATCACCAGCAGAGATATCAGGAGTTGTAAAGTAATATATCATCTTCAACCACTTCTATGTTCTTGCTCATCGTTATTCCAGTCATTTCCCTGTAACAGGTGAAATCATTCCATTACCTCACTTTCCGAGAAAAACGTGACATATCACGTAAAGTGTTGACAATTCGCTCATGTTAAAATGGTATTGTCACATTTTTTCAGTAAAAAAAATAATTTGTAGTTGTGAGTATCGCTTACTCTAAACATTCGGATTAAAAATTGACCTTAAACCATAGATAGCTACCGGTGGTGCCTATAGGGTTGCGTCATAGATGAGACTGGGAACAATGAGAAATTTTGTAATTTTAAGGTGGGTGGGTGGTAGGAGTTTGGGACCAGACCAGTTAAAAGGTGTGTTTTTGGGGTTTACACATAACTATCAAGAGATATATCTATTCTAACGGAGGATGTTCTACTCCAATACCAAATTGAAAGATTATTATTTAAGGGAAAATTACATTGATAAAGATGGTTAATGAGAAATTTTGGTTGTATGTAAACAATTTGTATTGAGGTGTAGCTTAGTTCTAATACAATATGGATTTTTAAAGGAATAAAGCGAATTTATGTACATACCTCATTGACCACAACTTGTTAGTACAGTAAAAATTCTCATAATAAGTTCTGAACGTAACCTAGACGTCTGTGTAGCACAATAACAGAAAAGTGTAGTGTATGTACAAAACTTCAACTCACGTCTTTTAATAGCATTAAATTATTAAAAAAGTTCAAAACATCACCTTATCCTCTACAATGTCCACCATGAACAGGCATAACATCGTTATACTTAAGTTATACTTCATCGTTATAAATATATGTTATAGTTACTATTTTATAACACTCCAAGATTTTCCCAAATTAGGCTAAAATCTAAGTAAATGATAAGTTTGTATTGTATTGACAACTCAAGTATATTTTGTTATTTACCAACTCAACTATTTATCAACTACTTAACGGTATTACAATGGATATTAATATACATCTCATCTTTCAAAAACTTCTCTAAACATTCTAAAAGAAGTGAACAAGGTTTACACATTGAGCCAATAAAGAAACAAGTTGGAGTTGAAATTGATAAATGATTGATTGATTGATAAATGAAATTGATAGTGTGGCGCACGGGCCCTCAATCCACCTGGGCCAGTCCTTCAACTAGCACCTCCAATACAATTACTGATATTTCTTCTTTCTCATAATCTATCTTTAATTCAGGAATAAAGAGATTTTGATTTGATTTGATTTGATCTATAATATTATAAAATTTTGAGGAGGTGTCTGTCTGTCTGTCTGTGTGGGCAGCTGTCACAACTATACTAAACCGATACAGCCAAAATTAAGCACAAATATGGTCCACAAATCTAGGAATGTCATAGGCCTATTCACTTCCCTGAGTTCCTCTCGGGCTACGCCCCTTGGATGTCCAAAGTTTCGAGGGGAGTTTTTCAAAAGTAAATATTAATTGATCTCCATGGATGCTTGAGAAAATTCACAATGTTTACCTTTGCGTTGATATTTCACTGTAAACATCAGAACTTCCAAATGCCTAATTCACAATTTCAGACAGCTGATTCAAACAAATTAAATATATTATTTTACACAACTATGTGGTAGGTTTATTTATGACTATTATAAAGCTTTGTCATGAATATTTATTCCAAAACTATGTCATTGATTATGGAAATAAAAAATCTTTAACCGTTGCTGTATCCAACCAGGCTCTCTACTTTCCATTTATTAAAGTGTCTTAAGTTATGCAAGAAACTTTATTGGTATATTTTCATGTTAACAGTAGGACAATAACAATGTAGGCTATAATTTTTTGCATAAATTTGGAGGCTATTTTATCAATTTGAACTACTTTTTAACAAGTGTTGGGATTAGTCGGTATAATAGTACATATTCCAGTTGCGAGGCACGGGTACAGCTGGTAGTACAGTATGTCTATATGAATATAAAATTCGTACAACAAAAACTAAGAAGAGTGATACAAACACGGGTATAGTAAACGTATAATAGTTTTGGATTTTTAACGGATTGTCAGAAAGTATCTATAGTAAAAAGAAGGATGATCAAGCTTATTGAAGCAGAATTTCAATGAACCTTATTCAGAGATTTCATTTTGAATTTTTGCAACTTTACCCTTATACCTAAATAAAATAATAAAACGTTTATTATGAACGTATTAAGCTAATTAAAATATACTTAAATATTTCTACGGTGGTTACCAGGTCATACTGATCGATTATATTGAAAACGTTATTTATAATCAATGAAAAAAACGTTACAATATCGGTTACCTTTTACTTTCAAGAGTTATATCTTTTTGCAA